CATTTATAATTTTGCCAGTGCCTCTCATTTCCCGATCTTCATCAATCTCAGCAACCAGGATAGGACTCTCTAGGATGAAGCTAGCTGAAGACGCATGGGGGGAAATGGCATTGGGACTGTAAAGCTTTTAGTGACCTTAGAAAGGGTAAGGAGAATCAAAATGTATTTTTTGCATTCAGGATTTTTTGGACAGTTTTGAATTAATCAGATTACATGGCGTGGAGTCTTGCAGATAATAAAGGAAAGGACAAAGGAAGTCAGTGGAAGGTGGCCCATTTTAAGATACAAGAGCACCAGAAAGCATTCTGCCAGACTTGCCTTTGGGATGAGGCATAACTTTTGAATGTAATGGTGACACAGCAAAGGTAGATGACTGGGGATGGAAGTGCAGGATAGTATGGAAAGTTGTCACAGTAAAGGGAAAAAGAGCTGTATCTGTCAGAGAGGACACACTGGAATAATTTTGAAGACTTTTCCCAGTGATAAGAACTAATATTCTAGATTAACAGAAGATTTTACAAAGCGGCAAAGATGGCATTGCATCTCTGATTAATACCTATTTACTTCCCTCAGGAAGGGATAAGGTATCCCAGGCTTCCCTTGCAGCTCATATTTGCTTTTAATACCTATTTACTTCCCTCAGGAATCTTAACGCAGATGGGATAAAGTATCCCAGGCTTCCCTTGCAGCTCATATTTGCTTGGAGTTTGTACAGCTCAAGATCATGAGGTGAAGTTCTTACTTAGGGGGAGTATTCTTGGTGCAGCTGGGAAGGGCTTGGACACTTTAAGAATCTGCTTTATGATGTTTAAGAGCAAAAATATGGAAGCTAGGACATCTAGCATGACTCTCTAAGTAAAGGGCTTTAATCTGGGATTTATTTACAACAGATACTTGTGATCGATTCTACTTTGTAACTCCTTGCTAAGATTGGCCAAGCCACCTCTTTTCTGAATTTGGAATTGGGGTAACCCTATCTACATCGTGATGTGGGAAACTCTTCCAATGAGACTGAAAAGCAAATTTGTCCTATTATTTGTCTTTAAATGTTCTGCAATCATTTTACACTTTTGAAAATCCATTCTCACTGACTTACTTAAATTGATTCTTCAGGCTGTTTGTATTTGATGCGGAGGATTACTTCCGAGAGCAGATTTGTTTCAGTTGTGCTTTACACCACCAATAGATGGGTAGCAGCAGCTAGAACTTCAGCAAACTAACGGCATTTCCATTGGATGTGTTTGACCCGGGGAATATTCAATACTGGCAAGAAACCAGTTGCTCATTGTATTTTCTTTTCCCTTTTTTTCTTCTCCAAGAACGGCGTGGTTGTGTTGTACCGTCTCCCACTCATAGACACGGTATTGCTCCTACAAAGAAATGAGCTAAAATGTGTGCACTTCAAATTTTTAGTCATTCCAAGTATCTGTAATTGAGATGATACCAGCAGTTGGTAGGAAAGGGGATTATAGGAAAGGGGAGAGGCATTGTTCCATTTTTGTTTTCCACCCTGCAACAGTTCAAGACCAGTGCCAGAAGGTGGTTACATACATGCATGTATTTTAAATGAAATCCAAAGCTTACTTATGACTATACTGACCTCAGTCCAAAAGACCTAAACTTCTAGTTTATCCTGTTGGGATGTAAAATAACTACATGCACACACAGAAATCCTGCACGTGAAAGGGAGCTGATTGTTTTGGAGGGTTTTTTTTGCTAGTATGTGGCACACAAAAGCCAGTTCATACAAGAAGTAAGGAGAGATGGGAAAAACATAGGGTTTATCTAGCCCATCCTTTCTCAGTACAAGGGTGTTCTCTGTACTATTCTTCTGGATTTTTCTTAGTCCAGTTTAAAATAATTTAACAATGGTGTCTCTCTTGCTTCCCTTGGATAGGAAATTACAAAAAGTTTCTCGATATTTAGTAGTCTTTTCTTTAAGTCTCTGCCTCAAGGTTCAAGAGACCCATCTTGTGCTATTTTTGTAGCTGTGTGTTTGTATCTAGTATTTTGAGTTGGTAGCTGCAGTGTATTTAATCCTAGTACATTTCTTCAAATCAGTAACGTTATAACGCCAAAACTAATGCAGTTTATGAATTACTGTACATAATACCCCTATTTGGTATATTCGCGGCATTTCATTTTTATTATTGCAGTCTTTACTGAGTGCACTATTTATCAGAGTTTATAAGGAATAAACTTTGCTAATGCTATTAAATCATTCAAGTGTGCTAATTTATGGCACCAGAGCAGGTGCTATTGTCTCCAGCTCTTTTGGAAAGAAAGGAAAAACCCTTAAACGATCCTGGATATTTATACCTAAAGGAAACAATCCTTTATATTAATATAAAAAGATTGTTTTGTGCTCAGTCAAGGGAATTCTTGGCAGTCAGTTTAAACTTACATGTATATATAGCACACTGGAGCCTGCTAAGTACCTCTGTTTTCTTTATGGATGGAGCTTTGGTGCCAAGAGGTCTGCACCACATAGAAGCTTAGATATGCTTCTATCTGATGGATTGTTCCATAGTGAACCACATTGTATACAGGATGTTCAAACGCGTATTGATTATGTGGTTCTGGAGTTTACAGCAGAATCATAACCTGATGCTTTTAAGTACATATATGCAATCAGTCTTCATGTGAAGGAGCTCAGTACAAAAGAAATACTTTATGCTATACATTAGACATTGGATTAAATATATGTTACGCGCTTTTTAACCTCATCACCATAGTATTATTGTGAATCTCTACGGTTCTTACAAGCATCATATTTGTGTTGACTGTGGACTGTAATTATATAATAAAGTTCATAGTGTGTATAGCGCTATTCTGGGTTTAGTACCAGGTCTCATGGTCAGGGAAAGCCTCATATAACACAGACGCAAATTTTTTATAGGGCTACTTTTATGTTCATTACATATCTGCAAAAATTCCTTCAACATTGCATTATAGAATAAGAAACTTGTACTTGAGGGGGAAAATTAGGACATGGATTAGATTTTGGTCTATCGTGCAAATAAAATTGCAATACATATGCTTATAGACTAACTTGCTTCTGGTACTAGAATGCCAGCTTCCAACTGATTATTTGCAAAATATAGACAATTTGACTCAACTACCACTTCTAAATATAGAAATGAATAAAAAAATTTATCAAGACTGCCTTACGTTAGCAATTTTTGAAAGTGATTATGTTCGCTTACAATGCCTAGCTGTATAAAAGATGATTTAGACTGGTAGTATTTATTTGTAATTTGGGACAGGAGTACTTGGATGATTCTTCTGGAGCAGCTTTCATGCTCAGAAGCTTTATTCCAGTCTTTTGGATCTATGAAAATTACAGAAACTGAAAATAAGACCATTCGGTGATAATAGTGTGATCATGCTATTTAGCCAAACAGTTGTGTCTGCATTCACTCTTTAACTCACATTTTCCAATCATTCAAATTCCTTTTCCTCTCATTCATTGTTAGTGGAATTTATATGTTGACTGTACATTGTTATCCCTCATTATATAGGGTTTTAAAAAAATATTGCTCTGCTGTCACACAACCATTTCAGTACTCAATAACTATGTTAACTGTTGCTGCAGTGTGTGTGGTGGCTGTCTTATGGCAGGAAAAAAGGGCATGCTTGAAACTAAGTTTTTATTTGTCTGAAATCCAAAAGAATATGATACAATAGTGTACAGAAAATTCCGCAAGCAGCTAGGTTTTAGCTTGTAGATGCATTTGGCCAGTTTTGCATGCAGAAAAGATCCGGAGCAAATAAATATTTGTAGAGAAGCATAAAGAGAGAATGGCCTGAGCTTGGTTCCCAAACCTTTAGTGGAAGACCCTACTTGTCAAAGGCAAGGCGCCCAAACTGAGATGGGTGGAAGAAGGCTGTAGCATGCCACTTCTGTGTGCGTTTGCCCGAGAAGAGGAAGCCCATCATCGTGTCCTCTGCCACTGAGTTATAAAATCTGCTGCACACTGCTGTTGTAACCCTGCAGCGATGGTGCTCCGAGGCCCGCAGGGCAAATATAAAAGCCTGCATCTAGAACTGGTCTATTCAGTAAGGGTGTGAAAGTCACTGAATGTGGTGTTTCGTACCGTAATGACTGCTGCGTAGGTGTACGTGCACAAGAATTCCCATCAATTATACAGACTCTTAATCACTTTTCACCATTACTGCAGGAAACTCAAATTTCCATGGAAGAAATGGTTTGATTTAAAAATAATTTTCCTAGCTGTTTGCAACCAATTTTGCTACAATATCTTGGGCTCCCTCACATGACTTAATTTATTAACATATTTCTAGGCTGTGCAAATACTATTATTTAGTATATATTTCTTTCTGTAGAGTCATTAGCTTTGTCTTCTTGCCATGATGCTGTCTTGCTATGTCTTCTTCAATTGCTAGTTGCTACAAGGAACAGTAACAGTATCAGTGACTGAAGATGATTGTGTAGTAAGTGTATTAATTTCCATGGCTGTATCATGTTTCTTTTTCTTTGCATTTTCTCACCTATAACTTACATAGTTAAGGAAAAAAAACAACCCTAAGATTAGCAGTAAGTGGCTGATTTTGTTTCCTAAGTTTTGTTTTTCATTACCTAAGTGATCTGATTTAGGTCACAGGGTTATGTTTCTGAGAGACATGTGAAATCTAAACTTGGATCATAGAATAGAATCATAGAATCGTTTAGGTTGGAAAAGACCTTTAAGATCATCAAGTCTAACCATTAACCTAACACTGCCATCCCACCACTAAACCATGTCCCTAAGCACCTCATCCACCTGTCTTTTAAATACCTTCAGGGATGGGGACTCGACCACTTCCCTGGGCAGCCCCTTCCAGTGCTTGACAAAATCTGTCTCTGTAGAGACAGATCTGTCTCTATAACAATTATATATATTTTTTCAGCCTAAGTCTAGATTACCTGAAGCAACTAAAGCACTTACATTTTTAATCTTGTAAAGAGACAGACAGTGTGTGTAAATCATCTTTGCTAGGTGGTGCGCATGAGGGTCTCCAGCACTTGGGTCCTTACGGCAATATCCCAAACATCGTGGCTGAGCTGACTGGAGATAACGTACCAAAGGATTTCAGTGAAGATCAAGGATATCCTGACCCTCCAAATCCCTGCCCTATTGGAAAAACAGGTAACTCTGCTGTAGCCTTCCCACCTCTGTCTTCACTGTACATCTTTCAGTCTTCCAGCGCTGTCCCAGACAGTAAGACACTTGATCAGCAATGGGTGTTTTCTTTCATTCTCTACCCTAGGAGCAGAACTGTTGAGACATCAGGTGGTTTAGATGAGATTTTTTTTTTTTTTTTTTTTTTTTTTTTAATATGTGCACCTTCGGTAGTGCTATGTGACAGCTAGAGAAGGTCAGGTGGAAGAAATCATCTTGTTTTCCGAGTAGAAGATAGTGAGATCTATGATAGCATCTTGTTCTTGAAGGAGTTCATTTTTAGGCTGGCCCCTGAAAAAAGTTATCATTCTGTACAGATGAGATTTACCCTTATTTTAGAGACTTTCATTGTGCCAAGAGGCATGAAACTGTCTGCCCTGATCTCCAACCCAGACCATGAGTCAATATTTAAGATACCTTGGCTCCAGTCCATGTGGCTTTATAGCTCACTGAGGGTGCATCTGTGCCAAGAAATGGAGAACTACGTGGATGTACCCCGACCCATCGCACGCAGGCTCGCTCTGGCAGAGGCACAGTTCAGCCTCGGGTGTGCCAGAGCGGGACCGTACCCGAAACACCCAGCACCTCCCTCAGCTTGCAGCTGCGCCTGTACCAAGCCATGTGGGTGGCTCGTGCTGAAGGATCTCTGAAGCAGAATTGCATGTGCATGATATAGACGTACCCTACGGGAATTGATCTTTTTCCTGTTACGTGAGCCAAGGAATGACTTCCAGTACTGAAAGTAGTAGTAAAACACCCATTGGCTGCCTTGGGAGCTGGAACTGGGAATGAGCACTCTATATTTCTCTCATTTTTTATTTGTGAGCTAAGAGACCCTTTCAAAATCTTTTCTGCATAGTCTTCTTTTATGTTATTTGGATTAATGCAAAACAGTTGCCTGTATTCTTATTACAAAATGTTCTAACTAGCTTAGACTTGATCAAAAAATAAAAAATTGTCATGAAAAGTTTTGCAAACAGTGTTTTTACATTTCATTCAAAAATATGACAAAATTTCGAATGGTCCTCCCTGACTGTTTTCTATCACAGCCTATTTGGTGATGATGGCTGTGTCTCTTCTGAAATAATATCTAATCTTCCATTTTGTTCAATACAGCTGTTGTCTGACAGGTTGCAAATGATGGGTTTAGGTTTTCTCACACACACAGAAGCACACACACAGACTTTCTCTCTTTTGCACTTGCCCATCAGACTTCTGTTAGTGATCAGATAAATAAATTAAAAACCTGGCATCCAGCAAAATTCCTTTGAAAATCCCTTCAATTTTTCTTTCTTAGGTGAAATAAAAGTTGTTAGCTAAGCTGATACAGTCGGATCTGAACACAGGGGAATTCTTAGGAAAGTGCTGCCTGCTCAGATAAATGGCTCTGTCGTAGGTACGCTGTGAGTGAAGATAATATCTACTAGGATTAGAGTAAAATGTTTTTCAGAGCCTTAAATGGAAATTCAAGTGGTGACTGTATTATGCATACAAATTACTGGAGGCCTTCCTCAATCAGGTCTGTGGATTTGCTTAATGGAAAACAATTTTTCCAGTCACTGTCTACAAATGCACATTCCACAGGAGGAATACATAAGCCTGGAGCACTCGAGCTTGAAGACTTTTGGATTAGCGGTTGCGGAGGGCACACATATGTCCAGCTGCCCTTTGTGTTTTCTACCAAAAGACATGGACGCTCTGAGAAGGTCTACCATGTTTCTGTTGTCACCTGCTTCTCTCTTGAGATGACCCTGTCCCTGCTGAGACTGAAATAATTTTTAACTGCTTGTAGTTAACTTTAATGGTTTGTGAGTTACTTAGCCAGTATGGTTAGTTTTCCCGTTTCCTAGTGGCAGCTTTTTTTTTTCCCCATTCTAAAGAGAAAAGAGAGAAAGCAGGATCTGTTGGACTGAGAATAACCTCCTCAGGTCATTGGATCAACTCATTTTTAGGTCAAGTTTTTCCTGTTTCCCACATCTAAGGGAAAAAGATAATCCATCTGCAAATCTTTTTCCATGATGATCACACAAGGACAGAAGGGAAGGTCCACAGGTGTGTCTGGTGGAGCGGCTGTGTTCTGGCAGATGTCGCCGCTTGGATGCCTAGCATCATGCCCTGGGTGGTAGGATCTCCTTTGGGTATGTCTGGGAGGAACTTGGACTGCAAGTTCCCCATGCTGACAAAGCAGGAGGAGGCTCTATCCAAAGGGCTGCTCTGGCCTCAAGTTGCTGAATCTTTGTTTAATCTAGAGATGACTTCTTTTGGTACAAAGTCCATAAGTTGATCTTTAAAAGGGTATTATCCTTGATGTGACACTGTCTGCAAAACCATCCGTTGTGGCTAAAGGAGGTTACTGGACTCATCAGATTAGTTACTAATCTGCAGAAATGTCTTCAGCATAAAACCTCTGCCACATTGCATTTTTATAAGATCTTATGATGTGTAAATGATTTTCAGCCATTATGAATGAAGTTAACAAATCGGATACAGAGTTCCATGAAGAGCTACTCAGTGAAGGAAATTCTGTCTTTGCTCACAGCATCATTTTACCATGAGCTTCAAAAGCGTTGCCTAAACAATTTCTACAACTTCTTGTGGGCATTTAAAAATGAAAAGAGGATCCCTTCTGAATCAGAGTAACATGCAGTTCTGTGTAAAAGGAGGGGGAGAGCTTGGAAAATAAATTTGTTTAGTTTTGAAATTTCATTAAGTTGTGTTTTTTAAAAAAATACCTAAATATATCCTTACAAACTCCTTTCAAAAGAAAAAAATACCTGATATTTCCCAGTCATCCAGTTCTTTAATTTTTTTTTTAAATTGCATAATTGCATTTAAGAAGTTTGCTGATTAATGTGGCACGTATTTTGTGTTCCACTCAGCTCTCAATGCTTTCTAACATACTTTGCAGTTGATGATGGGTGTCTAG